GACATCTTATTACTAAGATTTCAACCTGAGACACCTAAAATGGAGGAGTATAGCAAAGTTTTAGCAGAGATCACCCCGGGAGGCAGCTCAGATGAAAATTCACACACACACGAACTATTAAATCTCTGCAACAAATTCACCTTAAACCAGCAAATAGTAGAGCCTACAAGACTAGAAAATACACTGGACCTCATCTTCACTAACAGTGATGATCTGACACGTAATATAACTGTATCAAAGACAATTCCCTCAGATCACAACATAATAGAGGTACAGACATGTATGCACAGGGCTCCGGACCAACAAAATTTGAGCAGTCATGAAGGTCTCTTCACGAAATTCAATTTCAGTAACAAAAACATACAATGGGATCAAGTAAACCATGTCCTAAATGAAACAAGCTGGGAAGATATCCTAAACAACATGGATCCGAACATTTGCCTTGAAAAAATGAATTCTGTGGCTCTTGAGATGTGCTCAAGACACATTTCATTAAGAAAAAAGAGAAGATGTAAACTGGAAAGAGACGTTCCCTGTACAAACGAAGATGAAGAGTCACAGAGCTGCTGAGTGGGGTCAATATATCTGAAATATGAAGGGAGGTACTACTCAATGAAATTGCAAATATCGAACTTAAGGCTGAAGGAATCTTATAGGAGACAAGAATCACAGGAAATTAAAAAAAGGAAATTAAAAAAAAATACTTCTTCTCTTATGCCAAATCTAAGGGAAAAACAACATCCTGTATTGGGCCCCTGCTTAGGCGGGATGGAACATACACAGATAATAGCCAAGAAATGAGTGAGATACTAAAGTCCCAGTATGACTCAGTGTTCAGCGAGCCACTGCCCACTCTAAACGTCGACAATCCAAATGAATTCTTTATGAACGAAACCCAAAACTTGGTCATCCCAAAAACTTCGGATATTATTCTAACTCCACAAGACTTTGAAGAGGCAATTAATGACATGCCCATGCTTTCTGCCCCAGGCCTAGGCTGGTGGAACTCCGTATTCATCAAGAACTGCAAGAAGCCCCCATCACGAGCTTTTACCATCCTATGGAGAGGGAGCATGGACACAGGTCATTCTACACACACTAGAAACAACAGACATAGCCCCACTCCACAAAGGTGGCAGTAAAGTAATTGCAAAGAGCTACAGACCGATAGCACTAACATCCCATATCATAAAAATCTTTGAGAGGGTTCTAAGAAGCAAGATAGCCAAACACCTAGATACCTATCAATTACACAACCCAGGGCAACACGGGTTTAGAGCAGGTCGCTCTTGCCTGTCCCAGCTACTGGACCACTATGACAAGGTCATGGATGCTGTAGAGGATAAACAAAATACAGATGTAGTATACACAGACTTTGCAAAAGCTTTCGACAAATGTGACCATGGTGTAATAGCACACAAAATGCGGGATAAAGGAATAACGGGGAAAGTTGGTAGATGGATCTACAACTTCCTGACGAATAGAACATGTGAAGGCTTACTCCGCCCTGTAACAACTTCAGACAGTATTACCAAGGCTGGCTCCTCCTCAGGAAAGTTAGTGAATAGAAAAAGAAATAATAACAGACAAACATAAACACTTTATTATATAGAAAATATAAAACTCTTAAATATGAAATATTAATCCTACATTAAAGAAAATGAAAAATTAAAAATATAAATGATAACTGAATTCAACGCTATTATATATAGGGGTGTCTGGTGTTGGTGACACTGAGTGTTGTTGAAATCGTAGCAGTTGCTGATGATGGGGGGGGGTCGCAGGTGTTGGTTACAACCCACCGGTTCGTTCTTCACAGTATAGCCTTGAGCATTCTATCCCGATGACAGGAAAGCAGGTTTTTTTTACCGCTTCAATGATGAGGGGTTACGTCCTGCAATTTCATACAGGTGCACAGGTAATTAAATCCAAAAAGGGGAAAGTCTCAGGACGTTAGTCCATCTCCATCAGTTCTGCTCATTGATTGGCAGGTGACCCTCTCTGTCATCCAAGCTGGAAAGATAGACAGGTTACCCACTGCTTAAGAAATCACTCTCCATGATAAGTACAATACCTAAAAGATGTGGTGATTATTACAACAGTCAACCTAGAGCAAGACTGAAAGGACTAAGTTTATTATTGGTCAAAAGTGAAGCTTTCAACCAATAAATCCACTAGAATACAAGGCAGGCATGTACTTACAGTAGTGCTGGGAGCTGTGAGTCTAGTGATTACTGTTTGGACCGGAGCCCCACACGTCACCTTTCGGGGGGGGGGGGGAACAGGAGGGGAAGGGATAGCAGGAGCTAGACTGACCCTACCTTAACAAGCAGCCGGCAGTCAAACTATCACTAGGGGTGGGGGAAAAAAGGCGGGAATAGCTGGAGCTTGACTTACCCTACCTTAACAAGTAGCCGGCAATGAAACTATTGTTACTATATACTCCCTCTCTACTCCTATCTATTGAACTTTTCCCTCACAGAACACAAAGAGTAATAGTAAACAGAGTAAAGTCCCAGACAGCCACGATAAAAAGCTCTGTTCCACAAGGCTCCCATTCTATTCCTCATCCTCATTTCTGACATAGACAGAGATGTAAGCCATAGCTCCATGTCTTTCTTTGCGGATGACACCCAGATCACCATGGCAGTGACCTCCATCGAAGACACCACGAGACTCTAAGCGGACATCAACCACATCTTCGAATGGGCCACTCAAAACAATATAAAGTTCAACGAGGAGAAATTTCAACTACTCAGATATGGAAAACTTGAAGAAATTAAAAATGTGTCAGGGTATACCACAAATTCTAACCATACAATAGAGCAGAAAAGTAATGTGAAGGACCTGGGAGTGATAATGTCAGAGGATCTCGCCTTCAAAGACCACAACAATGTATCTACCTCATCCACTAGGAAAATGATAGGATGGATAATGAGAACCTTCAAAACTAGGGATGCCAAGCCCATGATGATCTCTTCAAATCGCTTGTACTCTCTAGGCTAGAATACTGCTGTACACTAACGGCCCCCTTCAAGGCTGGAGACATTGCAGACCTGGAGAGTGTACAAAGAACTTTCACAGCACACATAAGTGTAATAAGGCACCTAAACTACTGGGAACGGTTGAAGGTCCTTGATCTGTATTCCCTGGAAGGTCCTGGAGGCATTGGTACCAAACCTGCAAACGAAAATCACTCCATATGAAAGCAAAAGACTCGGCAGGAGATGCAACATTCCCCCGATGAAAAGCAGGGGCGCCACTAATACACTGAGAGACAACACAATAAGTGTCGGGGCCCAAGACTGTTCAGTTGCCTCCCAGCATACATAAGGGGGATTACCAATAGACCCCTGGTTGTCTTCAAGAAGGCACTGGACAGGCACCTAAAGTCAGTGCCTGACCAACCAGGCTGTGGTTCGTACATCAGGTTTATGATTCCTACCAGTGACATAGCCAGGATCTTAGTAGAGGAACTTCACAGAGATTTATGATTTCTACCAGTGACATAGCCAGGATCTTAATTGAGAGGCTTCACAGAGGTTTAGGATTCCTACCAGTGACATAGCCAGGAGAGGGGGCCCCTCAAGGGAAGTTCCTTGATGCTGGTGAGGGGCTCTTGATCTAGGGAATTGGATCTGTGCTCCAGTTCCCTGAATTAAGCCTGAATATCTTCCATCCCCCCCACAGGAACTGTATATTCCTATGAGTTTAGCGCTTCCTATGATTATAATAATAATTGTTAGAGGGCTTCACAGGGGTTTATGAGCCCTACCAGTGACATAGCCAGGATCTTGGTGGAGAGGCTTTGCAGGGGTTTATGACCTCTACCAGGGACAGCTAGGATCCTGGTAGGATAGAGGGCTCTAATGAACCCTACCACAAGTTCCTCAGAGAAAGGTTTCACAGACTAGATGCCTCCATAGGTTAACCAGAACTGATCCATGACATGTGTTTTCTTAGGAGGCTGGTAGGAATTCCCCAGCTTTGTATGACCCTAGTAAGTTTAGCGCTTGGTTTTGTTATAATAATAATGGTAAGAATTCCGTCTGCAAGCATTATTGTGAAACTGTGATTGACCTTAATACCATCAGTAATATGTTTATTTAGGCCTGTTTCTGCTGGCTCAACACTTTCCATGGTAACCCACTGATTATTATTACAGTCAAAAGTCAGTGTTAACTCACAAGGGTCATACTGCGCTGTCTGGAAACCCAAGCTGCTTCTCTAAACTGTTTTTATCTGCACCTATCTTATTAAATCTCCCTATGAATGCAATACTAAGCCATAGGCTAGCAGGAACACCCCTAAATAAGCCTATTCCAACTGGCTTAACTTTCCCCATAATACTGACACATAGGCTAGCAGGAACGCCCCTAAATAGACCTATCGCTAATGGCTTAAATTTCCCACATGAATTTAACACTGACCCATAAGCTAACAGAAACAGCCCTAGATAGGTCTATTCCTACAGGATTAACTCTCCCCGTGAACATAATACTGTATATGATGAAAAATGAGTACGACCCACAGGCCAATTTGTTATTATGACCCGTACGGTTTTAGCACTTCCTGAATGTTAAAATCTGCCCTTCATGTAGAGTATTAGTGATAACATAATCTGCCCTTCATGTCGAGTATTAGTGATAATATAATCTGCCCTTCATGTAGAGTACTAGTAGTGAAATAGTACTACTAGTACTCTGGTGGTAAGAGTGGTGGCCTGGAGAGAGGTTCCTTGAAAGTGGCGATGAGGGGCTCTTGATCCAAGGAATGTGATCTATGCCATCTGGGAGTGAACTTATCCTCCTGGGTGGTGCATGACCCCTACGGGTTGAGCGCTCCACCATGAGTAGTACTGATAGTGATGGTGTAGTAGTGCCATCTAGTGGTGGTGTAGTATTGCCATCTACTGGTGGTAGTCAGAGTTAGTCATGTTAACAGTGATGGTATTATAGTGAAGGTCAGGACAGTGACCAACCTAATGGTCACTAAAGGTCTGTTAACCTTCAGTGGTCGTATGGGAGAGAGGTGTTGCTCCTCCTGCCGCCCTGCCGTTTTTACCACTTCCTCAGCCTCTTAATACAGCTAAATAACGTAAATGTTGAGCTGCAGCTCCTGGTCCCCACTACCAGTTTGATAACATCAGGCAGTAATGTTGTTAGTTTATATTACATGGTAATGTTTGTGAATGTGTGTGTAATGTTGATGGTTTTGTTTCTTTGTGTATATATGTTTGTAGTGTTGATGGTTATAATGTTCCAGGTGTGGTAATTGCTGCTGCTGGCTGTGTCTGCTGCAGCAATGATCAACACAACAACATTGACCAGTCTGAGGAGTGAGACAACCACACTAGTAAATGGTCTGACCCATAACATTAAGTGTTATACCGGGAGAGAGTGACTCCAGGCATGTGGAGATGCAGCAGCTGGAGACGTCGTCAGAGGTGGCTGGGGCCCATTTCTAAGGTATTTCCAGGTTATAAGCCCACTAAAGTTTGATCACTGAAGCAGATAGTAATTGTATTGGGAGGTAGGCTGGTGGAGAGAGTATAGGAAAGATTGTGACAATATCAAAAGTAGCTTAGTGGGAATGTATTCAATAGGTTACCTTGAATGGGGTGGAGATAAAAAATGGATAAATGGGTTGTACAGCTTAGAACTGAAGACTGATTAGATTTTAGGAAATTTCATTTAGTCTAATATCTTTATTATGCAGCCTCTACCCATCCTGTAAGAGCATAGGAAGCACATATGAAATGTGATATATCATGGCTCATTTGGTAGTGGGGTCAGCTGATGAACCGGGATTCAATCCCGGGCACAAGTGGGCATGGTTTCCTTATATCCATTGGCACTGTTCACATAGAGGAACACTGCAGCGGGCCTACTGGTATGGGCCGTATCCTGGGGGAGTATAAATATCCTAATGAAAATGTCATATGTCATCCTGACTGAGAACATAAAGGAGGAACACTGCATTAAGCTTGGGCATACTTAACTGGGTAATTCTGTGTTAATCTACCAGGTTAATAATTATACTAAGATAGTTTAGTGTGATGAGGGTAATAACAGAGGTCGTGATGCCGGGTGTAAGGAAAGTCTATTAAATCAGGCATATCCATTATTAAGACGTAAAAGAGCACTGAAGCAGGCCTATATGGGCTCTGGTGGCCTGGTGGTTAACGCTCTCGCTTCACACGGTGAGGGCCTGGGTTCGATTCCCAGCCAGAGTAGAAACATTGGACGTGTTTCTTTCCACCTGTTGTCTATGTTCCCCATCAGTAAAATGGGTACCTGGGTGTTAGTCGACTGGTGTGGGTCGCATCCTGGGACACTGACCTAAGAGGCCTGGTCACAGACCGGGCCGCGGGGGCGTTGACCCCCGGAACTCTCTCCAGGTAAACTCCAGGTATTGACCCATGCTAGGCAGGTGCAACTCTCTACCACTCATTTGTCTAACCTAATTTTAAATCTCGCTTCTATTTTATTATACTAGTATTTTTAAAACTACACAACGTTTTAGCTTCACAAGACGGGATAAATTGTCCTTAGGCAGAATATGTTATAGCCAGAAATCAATAACAGTTCCTCAGAAATATATTAACCAAAATTTCCAATTTTCAGTAGGGTTGTAGAGGACCTGGCCAAGTAAGTTTATGCTTTGAAGTTCTAGAAATATTTTGCTGTATAGTCCTTGTGGCTTAGCGCTTCTTTTTTGATTATAATAATTATCTAGAAATATTTTCAGTAGCATAACCTAATGGATTTAGTGCTTAGGACTTCAGTGTTTGTTGGAGCGTCAGGGGGAGGGGTAGCATTTTTTATTTTTTTTTATATTTTATTGAAAACCATTATGTACAACATACATAGTATCACATATAATTATCCATCAACTGTAAACAATACAAAGAAACGTGCACACCCTACCCATACAGTATGATGCCTACCGTCCAATACTACTATGTTATGACAGAGGTCTTAACAAATTATCACATATTGCAAATGACAATAAACATGGTCAAACTTTACCAAGTCAATCTCAGCATAACCATCACTTGTGCACAGTGTGAAATATGGAAATAAAATGCATATACAAACAGTATTAAGGCATATCCTATAAACAACTGCCTAAGATGGTCCATTGCTCAACATACACATTCGTGAACGACTACAGTAATATAACGTGCTTCCAACATCAGCTACAAAATGCAAAAATCATGTCCTAGGGGAGCACATAGCAAACATCAAAATACCATCTCTATCCAGCAATCCTTACTGATGTGCATACACCCCACATACGGCAGACAAAACTTAGTCACAATGTAAGGCACAAGTGCCAATTATGACTACTGTGGGGCAACCCATGCCCTACCCCTACAGGAAACGTCCACACAAATCACATGAAACACCCAACCATGGGGCCGGGTTACGCCGTCGCTTCACACACGAATCCCCACCCAGCCAAAGAAAAAGGGTGCCCTTCCCCGGAAAGGGCCCCAGTAATGGGGCCTTGAATTTGTGGGCCAAACCGGGCAACCTAAAAGGGATTCCAGCGGGGCCCGGGGGGGGACCCCCGGAACCCCTTCATCCCCAGAAACCCAAAAACCCATCTCCCACAGGGAAAACCTCACCAGTCCTCAACAACCAATCCCTAAAACCCCACAAATCTAACAAAACCCCCCAGGAGGGCCCAGGGCCCACCAACATGCAATTTTCCCCCCCTCAACATTCAATAAACCCCCACGTTAAACAGAACCTACAGGCGAAAACCCGCCCCCCATAAACCCATAAAAGAAAAACCCATTTCCAAATTTCGCACAGCGTACAATAAAAGGGGCCGCCAACCCCTCTGCCACCCCCCCCTCCCTCCCTTACCCCATATCCCCCCCACAAACAAAACCACAGGGAACCCGTCCCCCAAACCCAAAAAACCCCCCTTTTAACCCCAACCCCAAAAAAAAAGGGCCCCCCAAAACCTTTTCCCCCCCCCCCATTACACCACCTTCCCATCCATTCCTTTAGCCCAACCGTTCGCAAAAATACACAGCACAAAAAGCCGTGTCATCACTCCCACAAACCCCCCCCCCACACCCTCTTCTCGTATTCTCCCAATCTCTGGACCCCCCCCCCCCGACGGCAGGATACCATGGAGGAATCTGAACATAACCTCCCTCTCCTGCAGCTATGTGCATAGCCTACACAACCTACCCCCAAATACCCCCCCACACTCCATCAGATACACTCCTTCCACTGTCGCCACCTCCCTCTCCCCCACCGCTTTCTTAAGAACTCCCACCCATATATTTGCAGCATCCCTAGCATACAAAAGCACCTGCAATGTGTCCTCACATGCACACAGGTCCTTCATCCCCACCATCTCCTGGCATCTTCATACAAAAGGTGCAACCCACCTCCCTTACACTCTTCCACTCAGAGGAACCCCCCCTCTTCACATATACACTCATAATCCTACCCTTCAAATTAACCCCAGCCCACTTCTGTGCACAGGAAGAGTAACAACCCCCCCCCCCCTCTACAACCAATCACATCCCTACCAGCTCCACCTCATCCGACCTCTGACCAGACACGTTCTCGAGGCTCTCTACAAGCCCCTCATCATTCGCCACACCAGGTGTGTCCAACAAACCCTGTAGCACAGTTGCTAACGTGTCCTCCTCCCACTCTCTCCTCCTCGGGCATCCTGCCCTCTACACCCTCCATAACTGGGCATGCTGAGGAAGACTCCCCAGGTAGAGTCACACATGTCCCCTCAAGCAGCTTGGCCTGCTCCACCTCTGCACTCCACGATGATGTCTTCGGACTTGCACCCGACTCAGGCACAACCGTCACCTGGACAGGCTCTACCATGGGTTGATGCCCCACATCTGGCATCCACTGCCAGCGACCACATTGTGCTGCAATGTGGTCGCATGCCCCACAAAGGCAACAAGTGCAGCGCTGCCCCACATAGGAGACCATCACTTGCATACGAAAATCGCCCAACACCATGTACGATAGGATAGGGTGCTTCAATGTCATCTTCAGCACTAAGGGACCTTCAATGTCCACTTCCCAATGGCTGCCACATGCACAGTTCCATATCTTCTGAAAACTTCTCGTAAATCAATCTTGTCAGCCTCAAAAGGCACGTTACGCACCTTAACCCAAGTGAAGTAACAGGACGCATCAATCAGCTGCACTGTGACAGCCGGGTTAACAACCACACAACCATCTTGAAATTTGTCCGCTAGCTGCTCGTAGACACTTGCCGATTGAGTTTTACAAAGACCCGATATGTGCTACTCAGAGTTCCTCATCACCCAGTCTGTAAGTATCCTTGATGATGACTGGCAGTGAACAGAAGCAGTTTGGGCCGTCACAGTCCCACACACCAGCTCTATACAGACGGTGTTAATCCTCCTCCTCCCCTGTTGCACCATGTTGTGAAAATCACAGCTTGCTCCAACGGCCAGCAGAGGGCAGTCAAACACACGTCCGCTCACCACAGAGGTCGAGCGACGAATGAGAAATTAGGTTTACCTGGACCTGGAGAAGGTTTTGGGGGTCAACGCCCCCACAGCTCGGTCTGAGACCAGGCCTCATGGTGGATTAGGGTCTGATCAACCAGGCTGTTACTGCTGGCCGCATGCAAACTGACGCACGAACCCCAGTCCGGTTGGTCAGGTACTGACTTTAGGTGCCTGTCCAGTGCCTTCTTGAAGACAGCCAGGGGTCTGTTGGTAATCCCTCTTATGTATGCTGGGAGGCAGTTGAACACTCTTGGGCCCCGGACAATTATTGTATTGTCTCTCAATGCACTCTTGGCGCCCCTGCTTTTCATTGGGGGAATGTTACATCTCCTGCCGAGTCTTTTGCTTTCATAGGGAGTGATTTTCGTGTGCAGGTTTGGTACCAATCCCTCCAGGACCTTCCAAGTGTGTATTATCATGCATCTCTCTTGCCTGCATTCCAGGGAATGCACAGCAAGGACCTTCAACCGTTCCCAGTAATTTAGGTGCCTTATCGTACTTAGGTGTGTCGTGAAAGTTCTTTGTACACTCTCCAGGTCAGCAATGTCGCCAGCCTTGAAGGGGCTGTTAGTGTATAGCCGTATTCCATCCTAGAGAGAACAAGCAATTTGAAGAGGATCATTATAGGCTTGGCGTCCGTAGTTTTGAAGTTTCTCATTAACCATCCTATCATTTTCCTTGCAGATGTGGTAGATACATTGTTGTGGTCTTTGAAGGCGAGATCATCTGACATTATCACTCCCAGGTCCTTCACACTACTTTTTTGATCTATTGTATGGTTAGAATCTGTCGTATACCCTGATACATTTTTAATTTCCTCAAGTTTTCCATATCTGAGTAGTTGAAATTTCTCCTCGTTGAGCTTCATATTGTTTTGAGTGGCCCATATGAAGATTTAATTGATGTCTACTTGGAGTCGTGCGGTGTCTTCAACGGAGGTCACTTTCATGGCAATCTGAGTGTCATCCGCAGAGGAAGACACGGAGCTATGGCTTGTATCTCTGTCAAAAATGAGGATGAGGAATAGAATGGGAGTGAGTACTGTGCCTTGTGGAACAGATTTTTAGATTTGGCCACCGAAGTGGCTAGTTTATTGTGCACCCCCATATCCATTCCGTGGACGGTAACGCAAGAGCATATGGGTACACACAAGGCCTAGGAACTAGGCCCCAGATGGGTTAACAGGCATTCATATGGATTTATATCTACAACAAAATTCACTTACGTTGCAAGCAA